CAGATTCGATTCCCCACTCCTCCACACGAAGCCAGCTGGGTGACCTTGGGTCAGTCACAAGTTGTCTCAGAGCTGTTCTCTCAAGAGCAGTCCTTGAAAGAGCTCCCTCAGCCCCGCCTACCTCACAGGGTGTCTGTTGTGGGGAGGAGACGGGAAAGGAGAGTGTAAGCCGCTCTGAGACTCCTTCGTGCAGGGAAGGGGGAGGTATAAATCCAATCTCCTCCTCTTCCTCCTCTTCTTCATCATTCTCCCAAACATGAGCAACAGCAAATGGCCCCTTCCTGCCCTTTCCAACTGTGAAGCTTTTTCAGAGCCCTGTTCTTTCCATGTCTCCTTTTCTTCTGCCTCCCCTTTCTCTCCGGTTCCTGATTCACAGCAACCTTCCTTTCAACAGCTCCCTTCGGGACCTCTTTCTAATCTTTGCTGTGGCCCACGACAGCTACTCCCAAGCCCTAGGTGAGGCTTTAAACCTCGCACAGAAGCGTCTGCTTTCCCCTTCCCTCACAGAAGCAAGCCTGCAAACATCCCAACAGCTTGCTCCCTGCGCAAATGCAGTGTTTGTGAACATTCCGTGCCACCGCGCCGGCACCGAACGCTCCACCGCCACAGGCGCAATACAACACAGACAGCTTACAATACTGAAAGAGGACCGGTATATTTTCAGGAAAGCGTATGAGGGCTGGTCTCATCCCTCTCATCCCACTGCCACAGGAAGTGGTGGCGGCTACAAGCATGGACGGCTTCAAAAGGGAATTGGATAGGCATATGGAGCAGAGGTCCATCAGTGGCTATTAGCCACAAGGTATAGATAGGGGCTCTGGGGCAAGTGATGCTCTGTCTTCTTGGTGCTTGGGGGGGGGTCAACAGTGGGAGGGCTTCTAATGTCCTGGCCCCACTGGTGGACCTCCTGATGGCACCTGGTATTTTTGGCCACTGTGTGATACAGAGTGTTGGACTGGATGGGCCATTGGCCTGATCCAACATTGGCGTCTCTTATGTTCTTATGTTATGTTCTCTGTCTTCGGCTCAGTAATTCAGGAGTTCACAGGGAATGTTTTAAAGAGCCCAGTTTCCTTTCCGTGAAAGCAACGCTTCCATTCCCCTACAGTGTTTTCCCTTTAAACCACCAATTCACCCTCAACACACTTTCCCGCTACACTGGAAAGAAGGTTATGAACGATGCTCAAGAACCAACCCGAAGAGCCCTAGGAATGGGCTCAGGGACTGTGGCAGCCCGTCGCCATGTCCCCGAAAACCTCCATATCGACACACAATATGGAAACTCCGCGCGTCTGCACGAAGCCGCCCGGAACACTGATCTGGTACAAGAAGTTATGGGATCAATTCTTAATGGAGTGTGTCACCTGCAAACTGAACAACGCCTCTCTTAGGCCGATTTTCTACTAAATTCATGGAAAAGTGGAAACCCATTTTGGACTTCCTCACTAGAGAAGAATTTGTTCCCACATTTTGGTCTCAGTTATCATGAATGGTTGTAAATACTGAGCCTCTCTATAGGTTTCACATTAGGTACACATTAGGTAAAGGTAAAGGTTCCCTTGCTCGAAAGCCAGTCGAATCCGACTCTAGAGTTGCGGTGCTCATCTCCGTTTCAAAGCCGAAGAGCCAGCGCTGTCCGAAGACGTTTCCGTGGTCATGTGGCCGGCATGAAAACACCAAGGCGCACGGAACGCTGTTACCTTCCCACCGAAGTGGTACCTATTTATCTACTTGCAATTCCTTGCTTTCGAACTGCTAGGTTGGCAGGAGCTGGAACTAGAGACGGGAGCTCACTCCGTCATGCGGCACACTCGGGTCTCGAACTGCTGAACTACTGACCTTCCACACAGCCTGCAGTTCAGCGTCTTAACCACTTGAGCCAACGCAGCTCCCCAGGTACACATTAGGAGTATAACAAAGATTAGCCACAAGTCTTAGCTAGGATCAATGCTCCCTCTAAGCTGCGGAGTCTTGTGAGCAAAAATTCTCCTTTGCGAGCTCCTGGCACGAAAGTTGTGAGTGAGCGATTTGGCTGCTGTATAAATGAGTTGGCTCTGGAGCCGTCCTTCCTGAGCGGAGGCAAAAATGTGTGAGCCGGAGGCTAAAAAACTGTGAGCCAGCTCACACTAATTCAGCTTAGAGGGAACGCTGGCTAGGATATCTCTCTAAGAAACACGGAACTCTGAAACACCAAGTCATTACATACTCACAAGATTGTTGTTTGGTTACTCTGATTTCTATTGCACCTGTTTTGCAGATGTTGGATCTTTGCACATGTTTTACACCTCTACTTGATACGTTAACACATTATTTGTGTTCAACGTTATGTATTCAATGTTAAGTTACCATGTAACTTGATTCTACTTTGTGAAAAATTTATTAAACTATTAATAATAATTTAAAAAAACCCAACTCTGTGTGTCCGAACCGTGCCCTGCGGCGTCAAATGATCTTCACCGTCCCCGATGCGCCTGCACGGCCGTTTTAGATTATACACTGAAACACCAAGTCATTACATACTCACAAGATTGTTGTTTGGTTACTCTGATTTCTATTGCACCTGTTTTGCAGATGTTGGATCTTTGTACATGTTTTACACCTCTACTTGATACGTTGACACATTATTTATGTTCAATGTTATGTATTCAATATTAAGTTACAATGTAACTTGATTCTACTTTGTGAAGAATTTAATAAACTATTAATAATAATAAAAAAAACCCCAACTCCGTGTGTCCGAACCGTGCCCTGCGGCGTCAAATGATCTTCACCGTCCCCGATGCGCCTGCACGGCCGTTTTAGATTATACAGCGTGTCGTCTATTTATTGCATAAGAACGGCAGAGCACGAAGCCCGCGCCTCCTGCCTCCGTAGCAGAGCTCTGCTCTTTTCCCCACCATATGGGCGAAACAGCCTCCCCGCCGACGACTGCCAATTCTTTCCGCTCCCCCGCTCCTGTTTCAACAAACAGCAGACGGAAACGGCAGACCGGGGAATCTAGGATGAGGGGGGAACCTCTCAAACATCGCGACGCTCTCCGCTAAAATCAAGGGCTTCCTTCCCATAGAAAGCTAGCATGTCAGGCTGGGTGGGACAAAGCCCTCTCCGCCACCGGCTAGTACTCCACAGTATATATCTACTTATTTATTTTTCGTCTCTGTATCCCGCCCGTCCCGTGAGCGGGCTCAGGGCGGGTCGCATCATCTCAAATAATACAGTAAGGTTTAAAACACAATAAAACTCCCTACCGATCAGCGTTTAAAATCAGTCGTTTACAGCTGCTGGTGAAAAGTCCGGCCCATGAATACAGATGGATATGGCCGGTTGCTGGTAGATGGGTGGCCGGTTGCTAGGAGACGGCAACCGCGGGGAGGCCATATGCGGACGCCCACTGCCTTAACCAAAAGCCCGGCGGAAGAGCTCCGTCTCGCAGGCCCTGCGGAACTGAGTGAGATCCCGCAGGGCCCTGATCGCGGAAGAGCTCCGTCTCGCAGGCCCTGCGGAACTGAGGGAGATCCTGCAGGGCCCTGATCTCGATGGGGAGCGTGTTCCACCAGGTGGGGGCCAGGGAAGAAAAGGCCCTGGCCGAGGCTAGAAAGATGTCTTTTGGGCCAGGGACCGCCAGGAGAGCTTGACTACTAGAGCGTAAAGCTCTTCGAGAGGTATACGGAGAGAGGCGGTCCCATAGATACATTGGTCCCAGGCCATATAAGGCTTTGAAGGTTA